CCTGGGCTGCAGGAAAGGCCTCATGAGGGACCTGCGCCACCTTCTGCCCAAGAGGCTGTCTGCCTCCCACTGCCACCCATGGCACTAAGGCTGCTCATGCCAAGGGGCACCTGTAGGCCAGCAGCAGTTGCCTTCCGCCCATTTTTCCTCGGCTTCCCCGTGGCTGAGGTGGCAGGAGGCTGGCGTGTCAATGCTGCCCTGAGCATGCACACACTGGGCCAGGATGTGACAGCACTGGGGCTTGGCCCCAACTACACTCTGAGATCACAGTGGGTGCCTGAGAGCTGCGAAAGTTCAGGCAGTGGAAGCAGACACCTCCCAAGCAGGGACAGGAGGCCCTTCTTGGCATTCAGAGCCTGGAGTGCAGAGGCCTGGATCCTCCTGGGAGGAAGGCGGTGCTCACACCCAATCAGTGGAGTAGGCAGGTAGCCCCTGTCACACCTTCTGGCAGCCTGGGGTAGGCAGCTCCCCTCGCTCGGCCCAGTCTGGCATCTGGTGCAAGAGTGATGTCTGCAAGTTCTTCCCCTAGCACTTAGGGGCGCCCATGTGTCCGAAATGCATTCCTTCCAGTGGGTTCTTGGTCTCGCTGACTTCAAGAATGAAGCCGGGGACCCTCACGGTGAGTGTTACAGTTCTTAAAGACGGTGTGTACGGAGTTTGTTCCTTCAGACGTTCAGATGTGTCTGGAATTTCTTCCTTCCGGTGGGTTCGTGGTCTCACTGACTTCAGGAGTGAAGCCACAGACCTTCGCAGTGAGTGTTACAGCTCATAAAGGTGGCGCACCCGGGGTTGTTTGTTCCTACTGGCGAGTTGGTGGTCTTGCTGACTTCAGGAATGAAGCCACAGATCATTGTGGTGAGTGTTACAGCTCACAAAGGTAGTGCAGATCCAAAGCGTGAGCAGCTTCAAGATTTAAGGTGAAGAGTGAAAGAACAAAGATGACACAGCGTGGAAGGAGACCCAAGGGGTTGCTGCTGCCAGCTCAGGTGGCCAGCTTTTATTCCCTTATTTGGCACCACCCACGTCCTGCTGATTGGTCCATTTGACAGAGTGCTGATTGGTCTGTTTTTACAGAGTGGGGATTGGTGCGTTTGCAAACCTTTAGCCAGCCACAGTGTGCTGATTGGTGCGTTTTTACAGAGTGCTGATTGGTGCATTTACAAACCTTTAGCTAGACACAGAAAAGTTCTCCAACCCCCACTACCCAGAAGCCCAGCCACTTCACCTCTCACCCAGGGCTCACCCTTGCCTGGATGGGACGGGAGAGGCAAGTTGGGGAACAGATTGTGGCCCAACCTGACCATCAAGAGTATCAAGCTCACTGGCCACTCCTGGGGAAATAACCTCGGGCAGACTCAGGCAGAGCCTCCTCCTGAGGTGTGGGAACTGGGCACCCTCATAGGATGGGACAGTGGACTTGCCGCTGGCCGGGTCCCGAAGCGGGGCCACTCCCACTTACCATTCTGGGTCCCTGAAGCTTGGTCCCAGCTCCATGAGCTGCCCACAGCTGCAGGGTGAGAGCAGCAAGGCAGGAGTGGTGGAGGCTCCGGGCCTGGGGGCAAGTCCCCCCGCTGCTCAAGGGTTGGGACAGCACAGTGCGCTGCCTGAGGGACACAAGGCACAGGTGACATAGGGCACAGGGGTCCCACTTCTGCCACCACTGCTTGCAACTTCCCGCTGCAGTGGGACACTCTGGACAGCTTGTCACTGCCACCATCACCACCCTTTTATCCTAAAATACTAAGGTGAACCTTAGCCGGCTTTCCTAGATTACCATCATCACAATTAGTTACTTTTATTCATAATTTGTTTCTTCTTTTATTTTTCTGTTTTTTGTTTTGTTTTGTTTTGTTTTTTGAGATGGAGTCTCACTCTTACCATGCAGACTGGAGTGCAGTGGCACAATCTCTGCTCACTGCAACCTCCACCTCCCGGGTTCAAGTGATTCTCCTGCCTCAGACTCCCAAGTAACTGGGATTACAGGCGCCTGCCACCACGTCTGGCTAATTTTTGTACTTTACTGAGTTTTGCTATGTTGTCCAGGCAGGTCTTGAAAACCTGACCTCAGGTGATCCACCTTCCTTGGCCTCCCAAAATGCTGGGATTACAGGCGAGAGCCACCACGTCCGGCCTTTGTTTTGGTCAGGATCTCCCTCTGTCACCCAGGCTGGAATGCAGTGGCATGATCTTGGGTCACTGCAGTGTGGACCTTCCAGGTTCAAGCAATCCTCCCACCTCCCGAGTACTGGGACTAAATTGTTTCTAAGTAAATTATTATTTTCTGTTGACCAAATTAAATGTGATCTTCTGGTTGCAATTGCACAACTTCCAATAGTATTGAATTATTATTGGGGTATAAAGACATAGTTATTCTCAAATCCAGGGACAAGAGTCATTTTTACCCAAGAAATTTGGAACTTTCTGTACTGATAGAGCTGTGTTTTTCCAAAGTAAATAAAACACTTTTTTCTTCTATTTTGAGATGGTCAAATTTATAACTTTATGATGAGAAATATGAAATAATAATTCTGAGCAATAGTTTCTATTTAGGAATTTTGAGGCTACTGTTACCTTTAATAAAAAGGAGACTTCTCAGGAGCTATGGGTCTCATCACATAGGACAAATGCAAATCTTGTCATTTCCAGAGGAGGGTAATAATGATGATGAGGGGAATCTTTTGAAGGAACTAGAATTGCTACACAGTATCTTCCTCAACTTGTATAATGCTGCCGTTCATTAAAAGAAGTAGTCTTACTGCTGTGCACATCCATAAATTATAGGGATATAAATAATTTTAATACAAGGGACATAATTCTCAGAAATAGAATGTGAAAGAGTATGATGTAGTGACTGAGCCTGAGAGGTATATAATTTGGTTTAATCTATAGTGTACCATTTACTAGCTTTGTATCTTTGCAAAAGTTGTTTTATCTCCAGCATTTTATTCTCTCCACCTGTAAGCATGAAAAGGGTGTTTATTTTACTGAGCTGATGTGAGAATTAAATAAAAACATCAAGCATAGAAAGCCCTTAGCACAATTCTGAGTACAAAGTAAAATGCTCATATTTATTTATTTATTTTTGAGATGGAGTCTCGCTCTGTCACCCAGGCTGGAGTGCAGTGGTACAATCTTGGCTCACTGCAAGCTCTGCCTCACTGCAAGCTCTGCCTCCCGGGTTCACGCCATTCTGCTGCCTCAGCCTCCCGAGTAGCTGGGACTACAGGTGCCCGCCAACACGCCCGGCTAATTTTTTGTATTTTTAGTAGAGACAGGGTTTCACTGTGTTAGCCAGGATGGTCTCGATCTCCTGACCTTGTGTTCCTCCCACCTCAGCCACCCAAAGTGCTGGGATTACAGGTGTGAGCCACCGCTCCCGGCCCTACTCTGCCCCTTTATCTATCCACATTGCTTTAAATCATATTTTTCTCTCGAGGTGTACAAGGGTGGTAAGTAGGTGCCAAGTGGAGCACACAAGTGTGATGAACCCTCTCACAGCGGAATGGAGTGAGAAGTTTTCTGACCTCATAAAAGGAAGACTATGTTAACTCATCGTTTTATATATTGTATGTGCATTAATCCTCACATAATCTCAATAGGTAAATGAGTATAATTATCCTCCATTATAGGTGAGAAAGTTGAGACACAGAAGAATTGAAAAACTCTTCCAGGATCAAAGAGTAAAAAGGCAGCCCTTGGATGTTAACCCGGCAACCTGGCTCAGAAATCAGTTTTCATTAAGACACTGTGTACTTTCAAAGATTTGTAAACACCATGACAATGCATGCCATTTCAAACTATGAAGAAACAAACATAATTTATCACAACACCTCTCAAATCTAATGAGTCCCCACTATAAAGATTAAATTCCAGGCTGATGACACTGTGAGGCCACATGACCAGCTGTGCTGGAGGCCTGGTGAAGGCCAGAGCCTGGGTTTGCAGAGAAGCAGACAAACAAAACAGTCAAACAAGGAGATTTACTCTGTCTTCCTGACTCATTCCCTCTACATTTTTTCTCCTAGTCCAACCTAAGGTGACTGTGTATCCTGCAGAGACCCAGCCCCTGCAGCACCACAACCTCCTGGTCTGCTCTGTGAATGGTTTCTATCCAGGCAGCATTGAAGTCAGGTGGTTCCGGAACGGCCAGGAAGAGAAGGCTGGGGTGGTGTCCACAGGCCTGATCCAGAATGGAGACTGGACCTTCCAGACCCTGGTGATGCTGGAAACAGTTCCTCGGAGTGGAGAGGTTTACACCTGCCGAGTGGAGCACCCAAGCGTGACGAGCCCTCTCACAGTGGAATAGAGCGAGCAGCTTTCTGACTTCATACATTTCTCACCCGGTAAGTAGAGGACTTTGCTAATCCCTGAGTGTCAGGTTTCTCCTCTCCCACATCCTATTTTCATTTGCTCCGTGTTCTCATCTCCATCAGCACATATCACTGTGGATAGCCCTGTAATCGTTTCTAAAAACACCTGTACCCCCGGGAAAGCAGTCATGCCTGCCAGGCAGGAGAGGCTGTCCCTCTTTTAAACCTCCCCATGATGGCACAGGTCAGGGTCACCCACTCTCCCTGGGCTCCTGTCCCTGCCTCTGGGTCTGAGACTATATTTCTGTGCTGTTGCTTGGAGTTGTTTGTTGTGATCTGAGAAGAGGAGATGTGTAGTGGCCTTCCTGGCATGAGGGGAGTCCGATCCCAGCTCTGCCTTTTACTAGCTCTGTCACTCTAGACAAACTACTTAACCTCTTTGAGTCTCAGGATTTCTGTGGATCAGATGTTGAACTCGTGCCTTACCTCAAGTTGTAATATTTGAATGAGTTTGAGGTCTAACCTTGTAACTGTTCAGTGTGATTTGAAAACCCTTTTTTCCCCAGGAATAGTTATTTCAGTTCTTGCAGGGCAGCCTTTTTTCCCATTTTCAAAGCTCTGAATCTCAGGATCTCAATTAAAGAGGTTCAATTTGGGATAAAAATCACTAAACCTGGCTTCCTCTCTCAGGAGCACGGTCTGAATCTGCACAGAGCAAGATGCTGAGTGGAGTCGGGGGCATTGTGCTGGGCCTGCTCTTCCTTGGGGCCGGGCTGTTCATCTACTTCAGGAATCAGGAAGGTGAGGAGCTTTTGGTAGCTGGCTCTCTCCATAGGCTTTTCTGGAGGAGGAACTATGGCTTTGCTGAGGCTAGTTCTCAGTATATGAGTGGTGCTGGATAAAGCCTTTTTTTCCCCAAATGACCTCCAGTGTCTCGCTAATCCAGAAATCATCAGTGCATGGTTTCTATGTCAAAGCTTAATAGCTTGTGGCCTGCAGAGATTAAAAAAAAAAAAAAGGCTAACAAGCAAGGATCCTTCGGTTGGAGATTCTGGAGCAAATTAAGGCAGAGCCACTAAGGCTAATGCGATTACACTGGATCCTGTGACAGACACTTCACGCTTCATGGGTCATGTGGTGAGTTTCTTCTCCTCTCTGCCCTGGTTCATATAGGTTGTGGTGTTAGAGAAATCTCAGGTGGGAGATCTGGGGTTGGGATATTATGTTGGGGGACAGATTTGCTTCCATTTTTTTTTTTTTTTTTTTTTTTTAGACAGAGTCTCATTCTGTCTCCAGGTTGGAGTGCAGTGGCACAATCTCGGCTCACTGCAACCTCCTCCTCCCAGGTTCAAGTGATTCTCCTGCCTCAGCCTCCCAAGTAGCAGGGACTACAGGCACCTGCCACCACGCCCATCTACTTTTTGTATTTTTAATAGAGATGGGGTTTCACCATGTTGGCCAGGATGGTCTCGATCTCTTGACTTCGTGATCCACCTGACTCAGCCTCTCAAAGTGCTGGGATTACAGGCGTGAGCCACTGCAACTGGCCTGCTTCCATATCTTTTAAGTGTATATCTTTTCACGTTTTCCCCCAAGACACTCAGGAATTCAGCCAACAGGTAATACCTTTTCATTCTCTTTTAGAAACAGATTCGCTTTCCTAGAATGATGGCAGAGGTGGTGAGGCATGAGGCAGAAATAATAGGAAAGACTTTGGCTCCAAATTTCTGATCGGGCAATTTACACCAAAACTCCTCCTCTCCACTTAGAAAAGGCCTGTACTCGGCCAGGTGCAGTGACTTACGCCTATAATCCTATCACTTTGGGAGGCCGAGGTGGGTGGATCACCTGAGGTCAGGAGTTTGAGACCAGCCTGACCAACAAGCAGAAACCTCGTCTCTACTAAAAATAGTTGGCTGTGCTTGGTGGTGCATGCTTGTAATTCCAGCTAGTCTGGAGGCTGAGATAGGAGAATGGTTTGAAGCTGGGAGGCAGAGGTTGTGGTAAGCACGACACTGCAGTCCAGCCTGGGCAACAAGAGTGAAAGTCCCTCTAATAAAATGAATAAATAAAAAATAAAAGGCCAGTGCTCTGCAGTAGTATTGGCTCAGGGAGACTTAGCAACTTGTTTTTCTTCTCCCTGTAGAAGCTAAAGAGCTTCTGAATAGCAAAAGAAAGTATCATCAGAGTGAACAGGCAACCTACAGAATGGGAGAAAATTTTTGCAATCTGTCCATTTGACACAGGGCTAATACCAGAATCTACAAATAAACACATTTACAAGAAAAAAACCACCTCATCAAAAAGTGGGTAAATGATATGAACAGACACTTCTCAAAAAAAGACATTTATGCAGCCAACAAACATATGAAAAAAAGCTCATCATCACTGGTCATTAGAGAAACGCAAATCAAAACCACAATGAGATACCATCTCACACCAGTTAGAATGGTGATCATTAAAAAGTCAGGAAACAACAGATTCTAGAGAGGATGTGGAGAAATAGGAAAGTTTTTATACTGTTAGTGGGAATGTAAATTAGTTTAACCATTGTGGAAGACAGTGTGGCAATTCCACAAGGATCTAGAGCTAGAAATACCATTTGACCCAGTGGTCCCATTATTGGGTATATACCCAAAGGATTACAAATCATTCCACTATAAATACACATGCACACGTATGTTTATTGTGGCACTATTCACAATAGCAAAGGCTTGGAACCAACCCAAATGCCCATCAATAATAGACTGGATAAGGAAAATGTGGCACATATACACCATGGAATACTATGCAGCATAAAAAAGGATGAGTTCATGTCCTTTTTAGGGACGTGGATGAAGCTGGAAACCATCATTCTCAGTAAACTAACACAAGGACAGAAAACCACACACTGCATGTTCTCCCTTATAAGTGGGAGTTGAACAATGAGAACACATGGACACAGGGAGGGGAACATCACACACTGGGGCTTGTCTGTGGGTGGGGGGCTAGGGGAAGGATTGCATTAGTAGAAATACCTAATGTAGATTATTGGGTGATGGGTGCAGCAAATCACCGTGGCACATGTATACCTATGTAACAAACCTGCACATTCTGCACATGTAGCCCAGAACTTAAGGTATAATAATAATAATAATAATAAAGAAGGTGGAAAAAAATCATCTGGTCCATTTGGCTCCAAGGACAAAGAAGAAAAAGAAAAGAAAAAGGGAAGATTATTTCCCAATAGAATAATGGTTTTCATGTATATATCATGAGTATGTGAGGTAATGCATATGTTTAATAGCTTGATTTAGCCTTTCCACACTATAGGCATATATCAAAACTTTGACTCTACAACCTAAATACACTATAAAATTTGTACTTTGACTGTCAGTTAAAAAAGTAAACCTAACGTTTACCAAGGCTATGCATAAAAACTGAGAAGAGACTGTAACAACTGAAAGAAATTTGGCCAACATGAGATGAGAAACCAGCTAGCAAGTACATCAGAACTCTTTCTTTTTTTTTTTTTTTTTTTTTTTTTTTTTTTGAGACTGAGTCTCACTCTGTCTCCCAGACAGGAGTGTGCAGTGGCACCATCTCGGCTCACTGCAAGCTCTGCCTCCCAGCTTCACACCATTCTGCCTCAGCCTCCCGAGTAGCTGGGACTGCAGGCGCCCACCACCATGCCCGGCTAACTTTTTTGGATTTTTAGTAAAGACGGAGTTTCACCGTGTTAGCCAGGATGGTCTTGGTCTCCTGACCTCATGATCCACCTGCCTTGGCCTCCCAAAGTGCTGGGATTACAGGCATGAGCCACTGCACCCGGCCCAGAGCTCTTTCTTAATCCCAGCTACTGTATTATGTATCTATTACTGCAAATTAGTATATGGTTTTTCATCCCAGAGACTTCAGTAATATAGTATTACCAAAGGACTTGTACAGATTTCAGAGAAAGAAAAATTTAGAAGATGGAGGGTTCTCCATTGTGTTCTGAGAATCAGTATCAAATATGTCAAATCTAAAAAGTACACACTCAATGCAGAAGTCTATTTCAAAGTAATAATCATTTGAGCATAATTTCTCTACTGTCAGAGACAACTTGTTTTCAATCAAATTCAATTTTTATTTTATGCATATTTTATTTTTAGTTATATGTTACTTGTACATACACATCAGTACAAGTACCTATAAATCCTATAAGAACATAAATCCCTATAGGAATATATTAAGCTGACAATTATGTCTGTTCTGTTTGATCCCAGAGTTGCAACAAATAGGCCTTGTTCCCTAAGTGGAAGAAATGATTTGTCTTATTTTATATGAGACTTGTGCTGTGGAACTGAAATATGTGGGATGAATATTTGAATGAAGATGCTTCTGCTGCAAATAGCAGAAAATCCCACCTAGTGGGCTTTATTTTGCTTTAACCCATGATCTCGTATAGGTGATAGATACGAGGCTGGGCGTCTCCAGGGTTGCTCAACTCAGCAGGCCAGTGGCATCACCAGCGACCCTGGCACTTCATAGCTCATCTGTCACACACAGCACGTCAGCTTTCCTGCGATGGTAGGAGGACCCCTGCAGCAGCTTTAGGTTTCTTATTCTTTCACAACAGCTTCCAGAGAAAGGAAAAGGATAGTACTTTTTCCTGTGTGCCCTTATAAGGAGCAACTACACTGTTTCCAGAGTATTCCCAGTACCCACTTTCTCAGTGGAATGACTGTGGGATCACACGGGCTCAGACAGGCCAGGATTCAACCTTTGCAGAGTGGGCCTGATGCACATGGGGAGAAAAGGAGCAAAATCATACATTTTTAAAAGTAAAGAAATGGCGGCTAGAGTAGGAGAGGTTGATTTCAGGGTACGGAAATGATAGATTGTGGTTCTCTTAGGTTGTTAGTATTTGTAGTTAAATTAAACATGAAGGCCTAGAGATTCCTGATAGGCATCCTCCATTCAGCGTTTTGGATCTTTTTTAATACATATGTATTGAGCATTAAATGTCTGCCATGAACTCAATTAGAATAAAAGAGAAAAGCAAGGAAAAAAGATTGATATGAGAACTCAATTCAGTATGCTGACATGTTGTTTTTACAGGGAAATTTTTGAGAAAAAGTAGAATAGGAATGACTAGCTCTATAAGGTGCTAAAACATACTATATATTTATTTCAAAAAATACATTTGTTGGCTGGGTGTGGTGGCTCATGCCTGTAATCCCAGCACTTTGGGAGGCTGAGGCGGGCGGACCATGAGGTCAGGAGATCAAGACCATCCTGGCTAACACGGTGAAACCATGTCTCTACTAAAAATACAAAAAACAAAATTAGCCAGGCATGGTGGCAGGCACCTGTAGTCCCAGCTACTCCGGAGGCTGAGGTGGGAGAATGACGTGAACCCAGGAGTTGGAGCTTGTAGTGAGCCAAGATCACGCCACTGCAC